TTTTGGTAAAATAGCCCATATTTAATAAAGTATCAGCACTTAAAGATTGGCAACATTTGATGATGTCTTTAGATGATCGCCACTATAGGATGGATTTCTGAAAATCTTTCCTTTTAAGGATAAATCAGACCAAAATGTAAATTCAAAACATCTATCGTTGGGATGTCCCATGTCATATGATTTACAAACATAGTTGATTACATATATAAATTTTATTAAGAAGGATTTTTTGTTGATCTTTTTTTTTAATAGTAAACTTTGAACAAAAATAACTCTTTAAAGAACAGAGATACAGATTCCAAATTAAGTTTAAAATATGATGGACATGAGTGTCCTCTATTTTTATAACTTCAAAACTAGATCTCCAATTCTGTGCAATAGTGTAAACAGAAATAAATTAGTCTAAAAGTATTATATAATAAGTTTTGTGTTAGAAAATTTACATATTTTCCCAGGTTTGATTTACTTTGTGCAAATCCTGTTTCTCTGTTAAAGTTGCAGTCATATTCTTTGTATCATCAAAGGCCTGATTAATCCCTTCTTCAAATTCACTTTTTGAATTTTCATATGATGAAGATGTACATTGATTACATAATTTATCAATTGCAAGTGAGAGTTTTTCTTTAGGAAATAAACAACGCATTTCATCAAAAACTTTTTGTTTCATGTCAAGTGGTAGTTAGTGATGTTAGCCGTTTAAAAATCCTTAGCCAGCTAAGCTGTTTACTACCTAAATTGGCAATTTTATTTCTATAACAAGAAAGTAACGCAGAAATCTATTACCAAATTTAGAAATTATGCATGCAGATTATTAGCCGGCTAACATCACTTGTGGTAGTCCAGGCATACATCGTGATGAAGATTCTTCAAGGAGGAGTATTGGATTTAAACTTCTAATAATAGAATAAATGGCATCATTTATATTTATTACATTATGATAACAACATTAATGATTAGTGACACATTATGAACTTACAATATTTCACTTGGATGTTTTTTATATGTCAATTTTTGGTTGTCTGCTTTAAGTTTTTAGCAGTGCTATCCAAGCATCAATAAATCAAAGTTATTTTTATTAACATTTTTTCTTTGGATTCCATTAAAATCTACCAGATTCCATTGATAAACATATTTTGTTTTGCTTTTCTGTTTTTTCTTGTTTTTTAAAAAAAATGAAAAAATGACCAACAGACTATTAAGCATTTTTTAAATTATGAAAATTTGTAATTTTTAATTTTAAATCTTAGCCAAACCTTTTTATCTCTGTCAACTTGTTCAATTCATTCTTCCTCTTCAAAACCATCATTAGCATTAGCATCATCACCATCATCATCTGCCTTGCGCTTACTCCGATATCTATTCTCCTTATTACCATCATCCTTTCTAATGAATAATACAAGGTAAATTAAAATTAGAATAATGTTGAATCAACAATTGTCGCAACTGTCACCATTATTTTAATAATTATAACTAGTTGCAATGTATCACAACTATCACCACCACCATTCTTATGATAAACACTTACTCATTTAACACTACCAGATTTTTTTCTACATTACTTATTTTTTTGGATTATTAAACATTTTTTAAAAAAAAGTTATTAGATCAACTAGAGTAATGATGAGTGGCGGGCAATAACCACCATCACCATCCTTATTCTTAAAACACTTATTCGTGTTGTTTTTTGTTGGCTTCTTGTCTTCTTTTTTGCTGGCATGGCATGTTTGTAAAGTAAAAAAAGAAGTTTGTTATTTGATCAACGTGTACACATTAATTATTTATCCTATTGGTTTTTTTTTTGGTAGGACAGACACGAATTGATTTTTTTTTTTTTTTTTTTTTGGAAAAACAAAAAACAATTTATTTTTTGACAGAGTCCAAGGTGACAAAACGTGAGTG